ACACACACACACACACACACACACACACACACACACACACACACACACACACACACACACACACACACACACACACACACACACACACACACACACATACACACACGCGCGCGCGCACACACACACACCAGTCCCATACGTACCGAGTATTTCCAGCCTGACGGAACCCTCCTCGTAGTCTGCGTCCTTCTCTACTGAACACACGTACGTTCCCTCATCCTGCATGCCGAGGTTCAGCAGCTTCAGGGAGGCTTGGTCCACAATCTCCGTACGGCCGTCGTACCTGAAAACACAGTCATCCTTATAAATAATGCTTTCACTATTTCTTGAGAGGGGCGAAGGAAGCCATTTACATCAGGGCCCATCACCCTACATTGAACCGCGACGGGGGCCGACATTGTCTACCAGATACCTTTGACCCAGTGATGACGTCACACTTCAAAGAAGCCACGTGACAAGGTTCACTGGGTCAGTCTACTGAGGAAGACCAGAGTGACTGGTCGAAAGCTCTAGGTGAGAGAATTTTTTGTGTTGGACCAAAAGTTTTAACTTTAAACATGTAACTACCAACACAGATGAACTTTCATGATAATGTTCTCACTCGTTTTGCCTCATTTAACATATATCACATATATCACAAATCAAGTTACATTTGATATCATTCAACTATATTAATCTGAACCAAGAATCAGTGCTTTTGTGGTTTGTTAAGACTTTTTCAGCTGACACTGATGTTAGTTATTCTTGGTTCTTATGTTTTGTCAACCATGACTGAACGTGTCTTTGGTTTTTATGTAGTTTATTGTTTTCCATGTTTCTTTGTACTTGAATTATTTCATATTTCTTGGATAAAATTCTTGAATTAAAAAATATGTTCTTTTTGGTCAAACAATACCCGTGCTATCGCAGCTACCTTTTTATAGCGCTGAATTGATGCAGGGTTTACAATCACATAATACACATGATATACCAGACTCCACTACAGTGCTTCTGTGCCTAACTCCTGGTCTCCACCAAGTCAGTTGAAGGCTGAATAAATAGCAGAAATCGGCCTAAAAAGGACCGTAACTGGCCAGGGGAGTTAGCCGGCCATACAGGGTCCAATTTGCCGTGTATCTAACTCCCCTGGCCGGCTACATTCCTTTTTAGGCCAATTTCTACTATCTATTCAGCCTGCAAAGTAGCCTGGTGGAGACCGCCTGCCCCATACGCTTTGTAAAAAAATCTGGTGATGCCTTCCACATTATAGAAACACGCCGCTTTCTTCTCATTGATTTATACTCCCAGCACGTTTAGTCTTAATCTGCACAGCACCTTGCTTAAGACATACAGACGTGCTTCTCGTTCGAATCCTATCGCCATAACCGTAAAAAAAAAAACGAACGACATCTGCAAAACACAAATGGGCGCTTTCAGATTCGCATGTCTGGAAAGTGCTTTCGCCATTTGACAGATGATATGTCGTCTATCAAGTTACGTTACGGCCCTGCTGTTTAGTCCCACGTTTCCCTGCTATTCTACGTCAAGCGAAATGGACTGTCATCAATAAGTGTGCTCATTTAACGCACGTCTTGTTTCCCCCATACCGCTCAAATGCCGCCCAAACACATGCTGGTAGTTTTTAATGGTAGGGCCTAGCCGCCATGAAAATCAAACAGGTGCCTTTTTTTACATATATCACATGGCATATTTATGAGAAGCGTGTTGGGGGTTTTTTAGTGCGACGTTGGAAGCAGCAACAGTTGTAGCTGTATCGGCAGGATACGTCTGTGTTTCTCTGTCCAGTTTATCTGTGTGTGTGTGTGTGTGTGTGTGTGTGTGTGTGTGTGTGTGTGTCTGTCTGTGTGTTTGTGTGCGTGTGTGCCTGTGTGTGCCTGTATATGTGTGTGTGTGGTGTATGTGTGTGTGTGTGTGTGTGTGTGTGTGTGTGTGTGTGTCTGTGTGTGCCTGTGTGTGCCTGTATGTGTGTGTGTGTGTGTGTGTGTGTGTGTGTGTGTGTGTGTGTGTGTGTGTGTATAATTCTTTTCGCGAGAGATCGAGCTGAGCAAATACCCTAGTCTGAATGCCAGACCCATAGCACGCTAGGCCCAGAGTTACCCAAGGCCTTGTCTTCAAGAGACTCCTTTTTTTAGGCTGGATAAATAGTAGAAATTGGCCTACAACGGAATGTAACTGGCCAGGGGAGTTAGCCGGCCATAGAGGGTCCAGTTTGCCTGCACGGATTTGGGCCCTCTATGGCCGGCAAACTCCCTTGGCCAGTTACATTCATTTTTAGGCCGATTTCTACTGTTTATTCCGCCTGCAAAGGATTCTGGTAGAGACATCCCAGGGCCTAACTGAAGGGGGCTGTGTAATTTTCCTATTGGTGGCATGTTGGCCCAGGAACCGAGGAACTGGCCTGTGTATGCCCTGGAAACAGTCTGGCACGCAGGCTAGGGTACCCCTGCTGAGCGCCCCTCCACTTGTTACGCTAATGGAAGCTGTTTGTCATACACAGCTATACCCTGGGTCACAACAACACAACCCTAAGATATACAGAAACGGGGAGAGGGCCATTTCATTTCATTTGTTTCGAAACCTTTTACCCCTAGTCTTCCAAGGCTGACATTTACATGTACAGTTAGAAACAAACATACATTCTGTAAAATCAGCAATATGAACACAAATATCTGTAGAACAATATCATGCATACATTTAAAACAAATATAAGTGCACGTCACAAAATCAGTAACAAACACACAGATTTACATAATTATTACAATCAAAGGTTGTTACAATTAGCTGCCAATAATCCTACATGGTAGGGCTAGGCAGTAACGGAGATGATGAAAGGTATCTCGATATTTGTACTCTACGTTTCTGTGGAAGACTAGAGACTAAAAATAATTCTAATCGTAAAGGTATCTCGATATTTGTACTCTACGTTTCTGTGGAAAACATGAGACTAAAACAATTCTAATCGTAAAGGTATCTCGATATTTGTATCCTACGTTTCTGTGGAAGACATGAGACTAAAAATAATTCTAATCGTAAAGGTATCTCGATATTTGCACTCTACGTTTCTGTGGAAGACTAGAGACTAAAAATAATTCTAATCGTAAAGGTATCTCGATATTTGTACTGTACGTTTCTGTGGAAAACATGAGACTAAAAATAATTCTAATCGTAAAGGTATCTCGATATTTGTACTCTACGTTTCTGTGGAAGACTAGAGACTAAAAATAATTCTAATCGTAAAGGTATCTCGATATTTGTACTCTACGTTTCTGTGGAAGACATGAGACTAAAATAGTCTAATCGTAAAGGTGCCTTGATATTTGTACTCTACATTTCTGTGTAAAACTTGATACTAAAAGAATTGTTATCGTAAAGGTATCTCGATATTTGTATCCTACGTTTCTGTGTAAGACCTGAGACTAAAAAAATTCTAATCGTAAAGGTATCTCAATATTTGTA